CCCTAAAGAGATGAGCTAAAGCAGCTTCTTCAGCTCAGTACCTGCATAATTTCCTTAGAGAATGGAAATGCATTTTCCAATGCCACCTAGCTGGGATTCATTAGGCATTCCTTTATTAATTTTAGATTCATTAGGCATTCATTTATTAATTCAGAATTAATTCTAAAAACACTGATAGCAGCAATGCAGTAATGCTGAAAATGTAATGTTGACAAATGAAGGGATAAACTGATTACACTTCTAAACAAAAATGAGGAAAAATCACCATATGCATTTTAAAAAATACATTATTAAAAAAAGTAAAGTTCTACATTATAAAAATGCACTGAAGTATATTTTAAAAATAAAACAATACCATCTAACACATGCTGAAAAAGCCTTCACACTTAATCAAAAGAAAGCTTCCTAATCTTTGTTTTGGGATGATGTTGCTCTCTTGAAGTATTATGCTCCCTGTAAACACTGAGTGGGCCTCTCATGTTTAAGGTCAACAGTATTTAAAAGCAGCTTTTCAATTTGCATTTTTATTTCTTGTCAAGGATTTTTAAAAAAGCTCCTACTCACAGAATCTTAGAGTCATTTAGGTTGGAAAAAACCCTCTGAGATCATTGAGTCCATCCATCCCTTAACCCAGCACTGCCCAGTCCACCACTAAGCCATCCCCCCCAGTGCCACACCTACATGTCTTGCAGATACCTCCGGGATGGTGACTCAACCACTCCCCTGGGCAGCCTGTCCCAGTGCTTGACAACCCTTCCATCCTAATATCCAGTCTAAACCTAGCACAACTTGAGGCCGTTTCTTGTCATCCAATGTTTGAGATGAAGATAAGGAAGCATTTTGTCATAAAAAGTTATAATATTATATACTATTTCTTTTCCCTCATTTTGCTTAAAGGCAGAGTACTTAATTGCTGAAATGTACTTAATTTAAAACTTTGTCTGCAATTGCTTGGTGTCATGAAGCCCCCCCAAAGCCCAACAAAACTGAACACGTTAATTTAGTTGGGCTATGTAAGCAGAAGAAAGTTATGAGTTACTGTAGACACTTGCTTTTTTTTTCCCTATATGAACTAAATGGAGACTTCTACGTAAAAGATCTGATCCCTGAGCACTGTTCAGATTTATCTGCAGCAATTTAAAAGGGTAATGGCTCCAGCTGCCAAAAATTGCTCTTACAACAGATACAGTGAAGCTGGCAGTGGGTCTGTTCCTCAGCTGCTGTACTTCACTCCCACACTAGCTATTAATGAACATTGAAAAGATACCCCCAAGACTTCTCTTCCTTCAGCTCTCTCAGCCTCTCCTCCTACATCACATGCTTGAGTCTCTTCACCATGTCTGTGGCCTGCCACAGGACCTGCTCCAGTATGTCCTCGTGTTCCTTGTACTTTAGAGACTTTATTAGTACTTGCCATAAAATAGTATGGGGTTCATTCCCAATCTGGGGGTTTAAGTTCATTTTTAATCCATACTTTTGGGTTTTAAGGTTTAGAGAAAACATTTTTTAATTCCCTTATCTCAACATTTCCACTTTTTTGTGGGAGGCAGAACCAGCATTAAACTTGTAACCCACACTAGGGAAGCTCAGGACAAAGGATTAAGGCAGGGTTCATTCTCAGTTCTCAGCTGTAGTGTAAATAACTTATATCTAATGAAAAATCAAATTAAAACAATTGTCTTTGGAACCCTAAACTGGCAGTCTGCTGAACTTTACCTGCCTTGACTAATGCACATACCCCACTGCCTTTAACAACCAAGATCAGTCAGGAAGTATTTATTTTTCTGTAATGAAATACAGGAAGATCTGACAGGATTCAGCGTGACAATACTGTCTGTACTGGCAAACTGGATTTGCTGGCTATTGGAGTATGCAGTTTAGATGAAAACATCTGAAATCCATTAAGCTGGATTTTTGCAATTAATATTATTTTATTTATTTCCTTTACAGTGTGATGTTAAAACAAAGAAAAAAGAAAAAAAAAGAAGAAAATATTAAGAACAAATGTTACATTCTATTCAGATAACAGGAGGGGCCACAAATAGAACTCATACTCCCAGTCACTAGGTACGTAAAGAATTCCAAACTTTATTTCACTTCTGCTGTTGCCTGGTGGCAGATACCTTGATGGAAAGCTTAAAGATAAAGGCCAACCAGGGAATACTTAAAAGCAGGCAGGTAAAACTGGTGTGTGAAAATGTGTACTTAGCCAGTTTAAAGGCTCAAATAATTGTATTTTCCTTACAATAGGGAAGACAATAGTTTAGGAAACTACAGGTGACTCAGAAAGACAAGGAAGCTCAAGCAGTAGATGTGAGGAATCCAAAACATGCCTAAGAAATGCTGGCAGCAGCATACTCTTAAGATTAAAATTTCAAGATTACACAGCACGTGTATAACCACACAAGCTCACTGTAGCTTTGTAGAGGCTGAATGTGTCAGCATTACAGTTTTAAACATTTCTAATTCCGAGGAAGAAACTGCAGATGTTTGCAGTTCAAATTAGATATCATCATACATATGTGTATGTATGTGTGTAACCAACATAACGTATGTATGTATATAACTAAGAGAAATGAGGAAAGAAAGGAAAAAAGGAGCTTAGTCCTCTTTTAGGACTTGGAAATTCAAACAGGAGAGCAGCTATGAAATATTTTAGTCTTGACACACTCTCTATAGATAAAAGTAACAATGTGAGAAAACTATGTAGGAAGGGAATGGAACAAGCACTGAAACAGAAAGTGTTGTGGAGTGTCTTTAATTTTTTTGGCCAAAAACCATGGGAAACTGGATACCAACACACACAAAGTATGGCATTCCCAAATCAGGCCACAGGCAAGTTAAAATTTTATTTAATAATAAATCCAGTTCGTATAATAGTTTATATTAAATATTACAATCATATTTAACATGCTTGTCAGGAACATTGCATATCACTTCAGAAAAGCATTTTCTAGAAAGCTGTGGTTTGAGTTTGTTTGTACTTTCTTTTGGTGTAAACAAGGTCAGGGAGGTGTACATATAAAAAATTCTGTCCCAAACATGGTGTAGTATGAAGAATAAGGTGCACTTTTTATTTCCCAAACAAAACACCCGTCATACTTTTTGGAGTTTCTTTAATGCTAGATTTCAAAATGCAGAAATTTTAACCCATTTAAAGATTTATTCCCTTTCCCTCCATAGAATAAATGACAGCTTTGCGTATCACAGAGGATGTGAAGCTTTAAAGTGTGTGCATACTTATAATTGTTTTCAACATCTGTTTGTGTATCTGTAAGTTATGCTCACATCCCTGAGATGATCCTTCCTTTGGAAATCTCTGCTGCTGCCATGTTGGCTGTGATACTGTGTTAACAAAACTCAAGCACTTGTCTGCGTGTTAAACAGCCGGTACAAGACCCTCCAGTCTTTAGAAGCGTGTCTAATCCCCATTAACACAAGCAGTCTCCTTAAAAATGCAGAGCTGAAGACTCCTTGAATGAAGAGTTCGGAGGAGCAGAACCTCCTCCTTCTTTATTAACAGATAGTCGGGTTAATATCAAATAGATTCTTTGAAAGGTCAAACAAAAGCCTCCTCGCGTCCGAGATGGGATGGGATTTATAGCTCAGGTCACCCTGGGAGGAAGAAGAGAGAGGGCACCACTTCTCTTGCTAAACAGCAGGCAGGAGCAGGACCCGCAGTTGTACGTGGAGGTTACACCGCCCATCCCGGGGCCCCGGCTTTCGGCACTGCCGCCCCTTCGGTGGGAGCGGGTGTGACACCGGCTCTGGGAAACCAAAACAACCGGCGCAGCTCTCTCTCACAGGCTTTTAACCTGAGGGAAGAGGGCGAGTTTTCCTTCCCCCCTGCTGCACCCCTTTTACCTCAGCTCGTCACGTCTGGGCGGCGTCTCGCTTGACCCATATTCGCGCCCCCTGCGCTCCCCAGGGAGCAGCGCCCAGAGGAGGAGGAGGAAGGAGGACGTCCGCCCGCTCATGCTGGAGGTTTGGGTGGGGAAGCGGCTCACCCGCTTCCCCGGGATCGCTGCGGCGGCAGGAGCTGGAGCTGGAAAAGCTCCTCTCCCCCCCACCCCAGCACAGGCGCTCCCTGTCCCCCTCTGGTTTTCCTCGGGGTTAGAGCTGCGAACGCAGCTTGGGACCCGCTGTTCGCGTATGGTTTATTTTTAAATAAATAATAAAACAAATAAATAAATAAAAAAAGAAATAAAGAAATAAAAAAATAACTCCAAACCCACCCCTCTCTGGAAAAAAAAATGCTTCAGGAGCGGCAGACTTCAAGCAGTTACAGAACTCGGCCCTCGTGAGGGGCACATCTGGAGTGCTGTGTCCAGTTCTGGGCTCCTCAGAACACGAAAGACAAGGAGCTACTGGAGAGGCTCCAGCAGCGGGCACAGAGGTGATGAGGGGTCTGGAGCATCTCTTACGAGGAGGGGCAGTGGGAGCTGGGTCTTCTTCAGTCTAAAGAAGAGAAGACAGAGAGGATCTCATTATTACATATAAATATCTCAAAGGCGGGTGCCAAGAGGATGGTGCCAGACCCTTTTCACTGGTGCCCACCGACAGGACGAGGAGCAATGGCCATAAAGTAAAACACAAGAAGTTCCACCTCGGCACGAGGAAGAACGTCTTTGCTTTGAGGGCGGCCGAGCACTGAACAGGCTGCCCTAAGAGGTCGTGGAGTCTCCCTCTCCGGAGACATTCCAAACCCACCTGGACGCGTTCCCGGCGTCACCTGCTCCAGGTGAGCCTGCCCTAGCAGTGGGGTCGGACGGGATAATCTGCGGGGGTCCCTTCCAGCCCTAACGATTCTGTGACTCTGTGAACAGCGCCATAAAGTCTGCGGCACCGGCCGGGCGCACGCAGGTGCCGCCTCATCCCCGGGGGTGAGCAGCTTGCCCGCCGGGACGCTCCCGGAGGCGCAGGGCAGGGCAGGCCGGAGCGCTCCCTTTCCGTGCCCCCCTCGCCCCGCCCCTCACCTGTGGCACCTGCGCTCACCTGCCTCACCTGCGCTCGCGCAGCCCGCCGCTCCCGCCCCGCGCGCCGGCCCCGCCCGCGCCCGGCCCGCGCAGGCGCTCCGGGGGCTCCGCGCTGTCATGGCGGCAGCGAGCGGCAGCGCCGGCAGGAAGGACATGGGGCTGGTCGGCACCGCTGTGTGAGGTGGCGGCGGCAGCAGCAGCAGCGGCGGAGGCGGCGGCGGCTGGAACTTCGGGCGCCTGTCGGCGGGCGGAGGGGCGGCCGGCGCAGCCCAGCCCAGCCCAGCGCAGCGGGCAGCGCGGCAGCGCAGCCGCCTCCCGGCCCCGGAGCGGCGCGTCGGGGCAGCCCCGCGCCCCCTGCGCAGCCCGCGGTGAGTGCGAACTTGGCTGGGGCGCTGCACCTGCGGCGGTGCCGGGGCAGGAGCCGGGCGGGGGAGAGGGTGGGGGCGCGGCGGGCAGGAGGAGCGGATTCCCTGTAAGAAAAAGATAATAGTAATAACAACAACTATAATATTAAAGAGAGAGAGAGAGAGAGATTAAACCCCTGGCGCCCCGGCTCGGAGCGCGGCGCGTCCCGGAGCACTTCCGCGGGGAGAGGCGTGAGCGCTCCCGGGGCGGCCCCGCGGGCTGTGGGGCAGCTCCGCGGTCTGAAACACCCCTCGCGTTGTCCTTCAGGGCTGTAAGTACCTGCCCGGGGGCAGAGCGCTGTGACAGACGCCTCCTGCCGAGGAGAGAGCCGGGATTCCGAGGGCGCGTCCTCCCTGCCTGACACCCTCCCCCGCCGGACGCCGCTTTCCCCGAGAGCCGCGGCTGAAGGGAAGGAAGGAGTGGGCCCGCTGCTCACCTTCCCGGCTGCACAGGTCGCTCCTTTTTCCCGGAGCTGGCGCTGGAAGCCGTAACCTGCGGTGAACTGGCCATGGCGAGTGAGGACAAACAAGTTGTTCAGCCAACAGGTGATGATGGAGGAGGAGGAGGAGCGGGAAAAGAAGGAAATGCTGCTGAAGGGGGAAGTGTGCTGCAGCCTTTGAATCCAGGAGTCCCCATCCGAGGTATCAAGATGAAATTTGCTGTGCTGACAGGGCTGGTGGAAGTTGGTGAAGTGTCCAACAGAGACATAGTCGACACTGTGTTTAATCTGGTAAGTTGATTGCCTGAATGAAGGAAAAGAACAGCACCGGCATGCAAAAGAATCCCACAGTTTTTTGATGTTATCTTTCTGTTAGTAATTGTTTACATGTTTACACTTTCTCCATACTGGATTTCAACTAAATTGTTTTTACTTATCACAAAAACTGAAAAAAAGAAAAAGGATGTGAGCTTCTAAACATTCATACTTAAGCTTGAAACAACTCTAAACAGCATCCTCCTTAGTTAGCCTCAGAGAAATTGTTGCTTTATTTAGATCTGGGAAGCGTATTGTTATGTTTAAACATTTAACAGGCGTGCTCAACAAGAAAGTTAAATGTTGATTTAGTAACTCAAACTGTCATCAAAACATACATATTGTTGTTTTAAGTCAAAACAAGTTTTCCCACGAAGATATTTATGCCCCTCTTTGCTTCTCTGTGCTTCTCATTTACTTTGGAAGTAGGTAGAACTTCCATGTACAGGGAATGAGGGTTTCAGGGAGCAGTTAATTCAAATTCGTTACATAGTCTGCTTGTTGGGAAGAGTAGAATGTGGTTTCAGTGTCCTTTTTTTATTAATGAATTAGGGAGTCAGTCAGCTGCTATTTTTTGAATACCACGTGGATGTGTTTAATACTTCCTAGCAGATCTCACTAAAAATTGAGGATACAGCTTTTCCTGCTGAAGCTGCAGACATAATATACGTTGAATTTCTTGGGTCAATTGCTTTAAGTTGCAGTTTAAAGCAATTAGGTTAGTTAATAATGTTTCTTTGATGCAGGAGACCAGTCATTAGGAGAAAACCTGTCTTTAAGTTTACAAAGATACTCTGCTGTTATCAGAGGTCTTACTGCCTCTCTAAAAATACCTATCACCGCTCCTCCTTCCTTTAAGTGAGCAGCTTTGACTTTGAAACAATGTGGTTTCTGACAAACCAGGAAGTGAGAACGTGTAATAGTATAAAGCTCAGTAACAAGGAAAGTTGAGGCAAAAGTCATACTGGGTTTTTTAAATGCTGTTTGCATTTCAGTTATTTTGTTAATAGCATTCTTTGCTACATGCAAATTTTCATGGTCACTAAATATTTGTGTGCTGTGTCTATTTAATGTTTTTTTTGGTGTTATCTTCTTGGGTTACGGTGAATGTTTATTTTTTGAATATTTTTGTACAGAGTCATGCTCTGAATTGTTTGGATGGAAGTCTCAGTACAGAGGAATTGAAGTAGTGACAAAAATAAAGTGCATATCAGAGGTTTCATGGATGCTTCAAGTATGAGGAAGTGATTTAAGTTACTTGGAGTCTGCTTGGCTATTGTCCTGGACAAAAGCTAGTGCTCAGATATAAGGACATGAAGTTCAAAAGGAAATTCTGTTGAATAGTTTATGATTTAGGACACTTGTGTGAGGGGAAATTGTTCATGAGCATTACCTTGTTTCTAGTGTGGTCTTTTGAGTGGTGTACTGGAGATGTATTTTATGGCATCAGTGGAAAGAGGTTCAGCAGAATAATAAAAAATGTAAAAACTCCTTTATTCCTTGGATTCCTGTTCTGCTCCATTTTGAGCAAGAGAAGAGCAAAAAAATTAAGCTTGATTCAGAGAATCCTTAATTTTTGGTTTAAGAGGTCTGGAGAATTGACCTATGGAATGTATTTTCCCGGATCTTCATTTTCTAAATAGATAAGGGAGAGTTTCTGTCCCTGGAAGCTTTTGAAAGTGCGTTCTGACTTTTTCTCCAAGTGAAACAACATCCCTGACCTCTCTGAGAAGGTTCCTCAACCATTTCAGCACACCTGCCTGCAGTGTGGGAGGCTAAAGGTCAAGCTTGTGCCCCACATTATTGTATCAGTTGATAGGTACCGTGAAACAACCAATAGCTTGGTAGGTTTTTTTTTGGTAAAGACTGTTAAACTGACTTTTTGATGTAGCTTTTCAGGATATGAAATCTCCCTACAAAGCAATACTCCTTTACCTGTCACTGAGTTCTACCTCTGTTCAGTTGTTAGCTGTGACCATTTTGTCAGTTAGTACCACTGAAATCACACTGATCAGAATTTAAGGCATGTGAAGTATTGGTTAGCAGCGGTGTACTTATTTTTCTCTCTGTGTGTACAGAAAATATGTAACTTTTATATGAAGAAGTGATTCTCTAGCTATGGCTTTTCCAGTAGTTTGTTTCCCAATAGCTTTCAGAGCGGGTTTGCTCATGTGTGTGCAGGTTCAACTGGAATCGTGCTGTAATCTGTTATTACTAATGGGGTTAAGCCCAAGGTATCCCCTCCTGTTGGGTTTCGTTCTGTTTGGTGACTCATAACTGCACTACCTCAGGGGTGTGAGCAGAAATCAGCTGCCCTGCTTCTTGTACTTTGAGAAGAGCAGAGATACAGTATTTGGGGGATTTTTTGATCACTAAAGTGACAAGTGAGATGTCTTTAAACCAAAGTGCAGGCAGGGCTGGGCAAATCTTTGTCGAAAGGTTGTTTTACATATTCTTTATAGCGTAACCACCCTTAAATAGGAAGGGTTTATTTTTTAAAAAGGGGTGTTAGCTGACCTAATTTTAATTTCTTGAGAAAGCATGTTGCTCTTAGTTATGCCCTTCAAGCTTGCTGTAGCACATGCAGGGAAGCACAAAGTGCTGTCTTGATGTTTGTCTTGAAGTATTTAAGAGATGGTCATTCTCTATATGTGAAAGACTCAGAAGGTCAAAAATCTAAAGTGCACAGTAATTGGTCTGCTGCTTATTGAAGAAATTTAAACTTCTGTAGTCCTGATTGCCCAAGCAAATACCTTGTTTAGTTCAGCAGTGTTGGATCTTGGAGCTGGGAACCACTGACAACATTTTCTCTGTCCAGCAGTGTAACAGATTGCTTAGGGAGCTCACTTCCAGCATGCATCAAAGTGGTCTCATTTTACTGTCTTTGGAAATTCTATTCTTAGAAATATTTAAATAGATCTGCTTTGTTTTGGTCAGTATTTTTGATGAACATAGTTTTCCAGCCCATGTTAGATGTGGCTTTGTGTATTTCAGCACCTCTTAAAATTGAAGAGGGAAATAGAGAATTTAAAGAGGATGATTATTCTGTGAAAAACTTTGAAAGCATATTCTTGTTCCAGTATTAATCTGTTCTGTTACTTTTTTTGACAGAATGAGCTATATTATGGATATATATTCCTCATGCATTGTGGGCTTGTTTTTAATTGACTTTGGGCAGCAATAACTCCTCAAAATTCCTTTGTATACAAATCAGGTGAATTTCTGTGCATGACAGAAAAGACCTCATATTTGCCCCTCCCTCCTTTGTTTATTAAAATAAAATAAACCTACTGGTAGGGGAAGATGATAGAATGGAAAAATAAATTACTTACAGTGGGATCTGTTACTGACTTAAAATAACTGTGGCTTTCATAGGAAAACAGAAAGACAAGTTGACTTGCTATTAAAAAAAACCTTCTAGATGGAGTAGTAGAAATAATTCAGCAATTAGCAAAAGTTAGATTTCTAGGATCTGAAGTTCTCAGGTGTAGAGTATAAATTCTGTTCTGAAGGCTACACAACCTGCATGGGAAATGAAGGAGATCCTGCAAAGTCTTTTCAAGGTTGAAATTCTCAGTGGAGCTTCTCATCTACTCTGCTCTAAACAGGCTTATGTTGTATCATATGTCAGTGTTGTCTTGTCCAAGTTATTGCAAGTTTCCTGTTTATATATAAAACTTAGACCACTGGATATCCTTGTCTTTCAGTAGGTAAAGGGCTCTCACTGGCAGGTGTTTTGTGCATAATGGGTGCTGTATGTGCAGGGTTAACTGTGCTGCATTACTGGGCTTGCCAAGGGACAGGGATGTTCTGGAAAAAATCTGCTACACTTCAAGCAGATGACTGAGCAACTGTTGTCCTTCTCTGTGGTGTCGGTATAATTCAGTTTGGGGACTTCACGCCAGAATTTACTTGGGTCTCAAGCCGACTAGTGTATATTCTGCTCCTCTCTAAAGAAGTGCCGTGCCTTGAGCTAAACCAATTTTGTTTTAAAAAGCTTTAACGCTTCTAATTGTTTTATTGAGTATAGAATAGATAGTTATTTGATTTAGTTCAATTTTTTTCCCCTCAGTCCGTGTTGCAAAGGCCTGTTTTTTAAATGTTCTGTCTCTGGTGAGGAGAACGTGCTATTGCTTCTGATTCTACTCATGGATTATGAGGTCCTCACCAAGACTTCCCTAGTGCAAGCAAAAGAAATATTAGTTTTTATCACCTTTGGAGGAAAAAATAATCAGATCTGAGGAGCACAGACTAAAATTATTTGTAAATTTCATTTGTCACCTTCACTTCTGCCAGACTTTACTAAAACCACAGACAAAAGTCAATGTAACTGTTAAAAATTCTTACAGTTTACTTTCCTGCTGATACAACAGGTTTCTAATTTGGTATGGGTGCTTCTGGAACGCTAGTGCAATGGATTCTATGAAGTATAAATTCCCCTTTTCTCATCTCTGGTCATAGACTCATTTTGCATGTACCATCTTGTAGAAAACCCACAAAGCTAATGCTGATAGAATTAGACATATTGCAGTAGTAAAATTGCACCATAAATGTCTTTATAACAATGCATTTTTTCCATTACTTTACTCTGTGTTTTTAGGGAGTGCTAGACTTTATTTTCTACATGAAGTTACCAATGCTGATGGCAAATGAGAGTAACCAAGTAGTTTCTAAAGCATTGCTGAACACTGGATTTCTTAATATATGCAGACTTCCCTGGTAGGTGCACCTCTGGCTACAGTTATCCTAGTTCAGT